GAGATATTGCAATTTAAGGTACAGATTTCTAAAAAAAAAAAAAAAAAGTGACATATCTGAGTTATGTTGTGACCCGAGGGCAGAGACACAGGCAGTTTTCTGGCTGGGTCTTCCAGGGTCTGAACAGCCGCTGAGGACCTCTTGGCAATGGCTGGCCTCTGCCCCATATAGGTGCCCCCCGCTAGAGCAGTAGCCAAACCTTTACATAAGGCAACCTGGGAAACAGAAGGAGAACCCTTCACATGAACTGCAGCCCCTTGAGAGGATTTCCAGACCCTAACATGGGCCCTAGGGCAAATGGGCCCTACCCCTGGGAATCTGAGACTTCATTGGCAGCTTTGTCCCTGGTGGCTGAAAAGAAGGGAGTGACTGTGAAGCACTCCCTGCATCTGGATCAGGAACACTGGGGAGTTTCCTATTTAACCAGTGCTTAGATGGACAGATACAGGGCAGACCTGGCTGTACAAGAATAGTAGCTGCCATGCCACTCTTAGTCTAGGAATCTTAGAAGGTCAAAATGGGACAGAAGCTCTCATTTCTAATCTCATACCAGGAGAAGGTCCTGGTAAAACTCGAGGGACATTTGTGGATGACCAGAGAAAGTCTCACTACATATCAGGCCATACTTACTGCAAGCCCAGAGGTCTCTCTTACATTTCATACCATTCTAAACCCAGGTCCCCTCCATCCAACCTGGCCCAGAATTCTGCAAGACACCCTGCTCAGTGAGAACAGCCCCTGACGGTGCCAGCCGCACACATGCCCTGATGGCAGCGTTTGCTCAAAGGACTATGTTCCCAGGATGGTCATGCCATGGTCAACCCCACCAAGGCCACTGAAGCTCAACAGGGAGAACTCACTGTCCACACTCAGCTCTCCAACGTGCGCAGTGCCAAGGGACCAACATGCACACTGACTCCAAATGTGCCTTTCTGATCTCACATATGCTCGCAGCCATCTGGAAATAAAGACACCTTTTGGCTAGCAATCAGCGGCCAGTGAGATGGGCACAGCAGCCCCTTGATCTCCTGATCAATCTCCTGAGGGCAGCAACTCTACCAAGCAAGGTGGCAGGTGTCCACTGCCAAGCACATCAAGCCCCCTGGAACCTTGTCGCCCAAGGTATTCCAAGGCACATTCAGCTGCCAAACAAGCTGTCCTCCGAAGTAATCTCTGTCCTACACTAGCTCTTCAAGTGGTCCCATTTCAAGATCTTGACTTAGAGCCTGGGTATTCCTCAGAAGAGCCTCAAATGATCGCAATGAGGGACGAGTCCTAAGGGCCATGGGTGGTGTGCAGGTCCCAGGCTGTTCTAGCCGCAATGAGCACAGTGGAAAACCATGGATCTCTACTTGGTGCTTTCCATATAGGGCAGGTTGCTAGCGATACTTTATGCTGTATCTGAAGGACAGAGTCTGGATTCTTCCATTTGACAAACAAAGCACTGCAAGTGTAGACCCGATGTTACAGGCAAAGATACATATATTGAAGATAATGAAAGCTGTGCTCTAGGCAGGTCCATATCAGCAGCAGCTCCAATAGAAAAGTGTTGACAGCACAGCAGGGAAATAGGAAGAAGGTAAAGATAAATCTGGCCTTCTGTGGTGGATCAATGAGTGAGCAACTGGGAACACCCAGCTGAACTTAGGCCATGTCGTCCAGGTTGTGGAAGACCCCGCTGAGGCTGTTGCCAATGGCATAAAGCACAAAGGCAGAACTGCAGGAGAAGATGGTGTGCTATTGATTTCCTGGAGAAACTTTTCACGCTGCTTTTCCTAATACAAACTCAGCCATTCTCACAGGAGGAGCTTGGGTCTTCACTGATGCTGAGGGTGGCTGTGGTTCTGTGGCGGGGAGCTGTGGTCTTTTATCTTGAGAATCTCTTCCTGCTTCCAGTGCAGATCCCTCAACCTTCTAGCACAGACCCTTCACCCAGTGTACACCAACTTTCTAGCTTGTACCCCTAGCCACTGGGATTTCCCAGTGCACATTTTATGGGCACAGACTTGCATGCGGTATTGTTGTGGGCTTTAGACCTCTAGTTGGACTCATGTAGGACATTGCTGTGGGATCCAGACCCTCAGCTGGATTCCTTGGGTCTCTAGTGTGTGGGTAGATCTCTGGCACTCTTCTGCATTTGACTTTTTGAGTGACTATTATAAAATAATCCTATAAATTATGTATCCTGGGTTAAATCTATTCCTTTGTAAATTCTGACTACAACAGCTTCTGATTTTAAATAATGGCTACTACACCCCATACCTCTCTATGGTTCTCCAGTCAAAATATTGATGGGAATGACTGGCAGCACACTGAGTTATCTAAAGGCTCCTTAGTACTCACATCTCTTCCATAGTTCACTCTGATTCAGTCACATACACAAGATCTTGTCATTGTGTATGAAAATTTAAGGATATTTGAGTAGGGAAAAGGTTACTGAAGGTGAGGCCATGAAATCTAGTAAGATCTACCAGGCCTGGACCTTAGGAAACTTTCTAGGTCATTGGTATTTCTTCTTCTCTTTGAACAATGGAAAGAGGATTAGCCCTGGGGAATTGTCCAAATTCAAGTGGTAAGAGATGGAGTGATCCCCAGCTCCAGTGGTGTTACCTTCACTCCTCCCAACGTCGCTATGGCATGCAGGATCTTTATAAGACCTGGAGCTCCGAGCAGTGTAAGCCAGGTCTGGAAGATGTGCTTTGTCTGTGCCCTCTATAATCCACAGATATCTACCTCATTGTTTGAATAGATAAAATGGTGGGCACCCCCCAGGTGAAGACTGGCAAACAGACTTCACTTACACACCTCGCTAAGTGGAGCTATTTTTGCTGCTCTCTTGATGGATACAACTCACTTTTCAGGTCCTAGCCTATATTTATCAAATGACCTCTTTTTCCTTCTTCTCTTGGATCTTCTTGGGTAGCTCAAAAACTACCTCTACAAGAGATAATAGGTAGTGGCAACTTAGACAAAACCTTCAATTCAATCACATCTCTTTCCTAATATCTAAGTCACCTAATTACTTGAGAGATGGGCTGGATGAAATTGCCTGCAGCATTGGCACCCACCAAAATCAAAGAGGTTCACTAGCTAGTAGTAGTGGCAATATGAAACCATCAAGGGGCAGATCTCCTAACTACTGGAAAAGAGCGATTACATTTATTTTAAAAGAAAAAAGTCCATCTTCTGACAATGAGTCTGAAATAGAGAGAGACACAGCACAAAAGATAGCTGGCCACACTTCTGAGATCTGTCAAGAGTCATCAGAGTCATGGGCATCCTGGCTAAATAGCTGGAATCAGTGTCTTGTTCAGTTTCCTGGACAGGATCTGTAGTGATACTGTTCTTCAGATTACTATTTAGACCTCCCATACTTAATCTATTAGCCAACTTTATTTATTCCTGTTTAATGCTGTTAATCTAAGATTTATGACCTGAGCCATGTACAAAACCCTCCTCCACATCTACAGCTCATGAAGAAATCCTCAGAGGAGTCATAAGGCCCGTTTAGGCCCTAGATAAGGGAGGTTTATTGTTCTCCACATAGGTAGGCTCCTCAGTGCGCCTGCTCACTATAAAGCAGCCATGGAAAATGGACATTTGTCCCTCTGGACCTATCAAGGATTTTTAGTGACCAGGTCTCTCTTGGGGGAAATAACATAGGTAAAACAATTGGGCTATGGAGCCACTCCTCCTTCATTCGCATAACCTTGGGCAACACACCAGGACCAATCCTTCTTCTAGGGTACTAAGAGAGGCAGAAATAAAAACAACAGAACCAGGAAATTTCTAGAGACATAGGCCAGAGCACATATGTGATAGCATGGCATGATCCAGAGTGACCTTTCCTTACTCAAAATTCATTGACAGTTCATGCATGCTGGCTGTGTGTTCTGCATGCCAATACAGCCATGAATTACAGGGAAAGTCACTTGCAGTAGACCCCAGGGAGATGGCTCAGGGCCCTGTCAATCATTTTGTCAGTCCTGAGTTCACAGTCAAGCACACTAGGTAGAAAGCATATTTTTTCAAATCCAAAAGCCTAACTTCATTCCTTTTCTGCCTGCTGCATGGGCACCACTGCTGTTCCCACTCAGGAACTTTTTGTTTCAGCTGGCATGAACCCACTGTTCAGAGAAGTGCCTTCCACTATTAACTTCAGCGCATGTAAGACCATGTGTGTAACTTGCAGTTTATAGCTCAGCATACAGAGGCCATGGAGATACTCAGTGGTCTAAGTGCCTGCCTGGAAAGGGCAAGGACAGGGGTTTGATCCCTGGTATTGCATGTCATACTGGCCCTGCTCCAGGTGAGCTAAGCTGGCCACCAAGACCAGGCATGGTAGTGCATGCCTGTAATCCCAGCAGCACTCAGGAGGCTGAAACAGGAGGATCATTATGAGTCCGAGTTGTGAAGTGAGACGCTGTACCAAATACACAAAATTAAAAAATAAAGTAAAAATATAGCTCAGCAAACACAAGAAACTGAAGTGTATCTCTCAAATTCCCATCATGCACTCTATTACTTTTGTCATAGATTTCATTAGCTTTAGTACTAAGCTAACTGTCTACATCTTGTTTGTCTTCTCTTTTGAGACCCTAAATTGCCTAGAATTGGCTCAATCTTACAACCCTCCTACCTCCATATCACTGCGTGCTGGGATTGAAGGAGTGTTCCTCCACGTCCAGCTCTCCCAGCTTTCTTACTGTAGAAGTAGTCTGCAGAGCACTGAGGTTGTGATGAGAGTAACTGGCACTTGGAAATTTCAAAATATTTATTGGCGAAAGTATAGGTCAATTACAGCTATATTAACAATCAAAATAACAAATGGGCAGTAGTAAACACTTGCAGCTATTTATTTCTAGTACCTATGAAAGTAATTGCTAAATGACAGCAAAATTTCACTTAGATGAGAAGCAGTGAAATTTGAGACCATTGGTAAGACACATCCTGTTTCATTCTGTTTCTGGTTATGCAAGATTTGCTTGTACAGTCAGGTTTTATTAAATAGCAAATACTTGTGATTATAAAAGACTCTGATCTCCTCTCTCTGGCCACCTTCCCTCCAGCAGATGAAACAAACTCATCTTGCTCTGAGACCCAGAGGTGGTAAGTGGCAACTCCTTTACTTCAAAATAAATGGTTCATTATGCTAATACATTTGCAACTGGAGAATGGAAAGAGGGTAATTTAATAAACATGCATGAATGTAATTTAAAATCTATTTATTAGATGTGCCAAGAATTTTAGCTAAGAAGATAATGTTAGCTTTATTGCTAGATGGAAAATGAAACACTGATTTTATTGAGCGGTAGTTTTTATTAATCAAAACACAATTGACAATGCCATAATAAAGACATTATTAGATAAAGCATGAGAAATCATCCTTGATAATAGTTTCAAATTAGTGAGGACAAAATTCTACCAGTGATATTAAGATAGAAATCCTTTATCAATAATCATACAAATAAAACATAATTTATACAAATTAAAAAAGAAACAGACTTCTAGAAGTTTCCCAATCAAAATCCAACCTATCCAAGTTTCTACATTTCATAAAGATAATTTAAATGAAACACATATTGTATTTTCATGTAAGAAACAATTCTACAGAGAACTTAGCATGTTGTGCCAAACCAAAAAAAAAAAAAAAAAAGAATTCTAGATAATATTTGGATATCACAGAACTAAGTGATGCCAATAGGAAAGGATTTATGCACCTACCCCTTCAGAGAACAGTTCACTTCCAAAAGGTATGCAGTCATGCTTTTCACTCCAGTGACCGCAATCCATTAGGAGCTCTAGGATGGATCACCTCTTGCTGGAGAGAAGTGTTTCTCCTTCTAGTTAAAACACGAAACTAGAATGTCTGCCTGTGTAAATAAACTCTGAAGGCGGATCAAAGGAGGTAAACTGATTATGCATTTCAAAGCCAAGAGCTACTCTTAACTATTGCTTTGAGATGGTTGGGGCTCCTTAATTGAGCTCAGATTAGTTATGGCAGGAATAGATTGGAAAAAGTATCTAAGCATTTAAGCTGTGTAAATCGCATAGTCCTATGGAGACAATTCTGTATTATATACACAGTTCAAGAATAGGGGAGGGATTTCACTCTTGGTAAAGAAAAGATGCTCTTCAGGATCTGGAATGGTGGCTACTCTTATTTAAATCTCTTTTTAGATTTCTTGCCTGTAAGGCTGATCATTGTTACAAGCTGTATGTTTGCATGATTGCTTTCTGTCTCATAGGTTCCTGATGAAATGACAGTGGTCAAAATGAAAATTAAACAGTAAGAGTTAGAAATAGTGGGTCTCATGTAACTCGGTAGTGTTGGAGCTACAACTCTTGTTGCATAGGTCCCAAATTTTCTGATCAAGGAGATTATCGGGCCAAAGAGGAAAGTGA